GACAATTTTCTGTGTTGAAGGATATCTCTTTTTCTAGAAACATCATAATATAAACTTTTCCAATTGTAAGGAGAGATACTAAGTGAGCTCCTTAAACTATTTTGAGCAAAAGAAACATTCTCTAGGTTCATAAAAAAGACTGTGTATCTTCTAAAACACCTGTCTTTTGTGGTCGAAGAATTAATGAGACTGCCTTTTCTGAAATGCGTTCATAAGAATTAACAGTCAGGTCCCTCTACCAATCTCTATTACAAACTATCCCTAAATGTATTTTGTCACACTTTGCAACATTGGGGTTCAGTGAACAACTGAAGTAATACGGCTATGAGAAAGTAAGTATTTCTTCTATCATTTTCTGTTTTGAACTCTCAAATGAAGCTTTTGTCTCAGAAACTGACCAAAATTATTCATTACATTAATATGTTACAAGACTCAATAACAATTTATGAGATATGTGGCATTTGAATATGTTATTAAAATTTTTGTTTTCATCTATAAAAAATGATTCATCTAAAAGCATCAAAAAATGGTAGGTATATTATTTGCTACAAACTTATCCTCATTTTAAACAAAATGTGCACAAATACTCTAATTTCTTTTCTCCACTAGGGACTAATTTTCTGATGTTTTAGTGAATGATCCTGCCTTCTCTTGGTCGTTCATTCTTTTGTGTATTAATTGCTCTAGTAATATCAGGGTCAGGGACTGGGATACAGCAGATAGAGCATTTGCCTTGCACATGGCTAACCTGTGTTTGATCAGCAGCATTCCATATGGTCTTCGAGCACTATCAGGAGTAATTCCTAAACTCAGAGCCAGGAAAACCCAGGTCAATTAATCAGTTGTATGGGTTTTTGGTAAGAGATTCAACTCCCCTTTCCACACCCCCACCCAGAGGAGTAGGGTTCCCGGATGATTAATATAAAGTGGGGAAGAGAGATGGGGGTCCCAGCTTCCAGAAGGGCATCTAAAGTTTCTGTCTTTATCCACCTCTGTCAGCCTGGAAAGTGCCTGGGAAATTTAGAGTTTATGAGAGTCTGTGATGAGTCCCTGTACTTCACAGATGCTCACAAGCTACCAACCACATAAAGAACACCTTAAGCTGCCCTCAACCTGGGTTCTACTGACTCTTCACATATTTCTACGGGTCTCATGGACTCAGGCTGGAGTAAGGAATTGCTCGTTGCAGAAAAGGAAAGTCTGTCCTAAATCTTACCCAATTTTTTTGTCTTTTCCTCACAAAAAAAGGGGTTTTGTGGGGGGGGGGGAGATAAATAATGAAGTAAAACACATTTATTTGACTAATAGAAGAAGGGAAGAGAGAGGGAGATTAAAAAATAAGTGTTTGAGAAAGAAAACCTGCTTCCCCGGAATAGGGAGAGCCCAAAGTAGCATTTGGGAGGAGATTAAGTACAGATATTTTCCATCGATGTCTGTGTCTTAAAGTCCTTACAAAATTAGAAGTTAATGAGATTTTTCCTGGGGAAAAGTACTGAACTTCTGCTAGTCTATCCTTGAGTTTTTATCACAGCCTTTATCCGATCCGAGCATTCTTGGCACCCCTTCCAGCAATCCATCCATGCTTAGGCCTAGAATTACGCATTTCAGTGGTTTTCCAGGCTCTAGAGGAGGGTCTCTCCAGTCAAAGGCCTTAATTCCTATAGGATGGTTTGGGTTTCAGACACTGTTCTTTTCCAACATATATTAGCAGCTTACCCCACGACTATTCCCCGATCCCATCTTCCTACCTGCAACAAAAGTGTTCTTAAAATGTGTAGGATTGTGGTAGTATGGCCGAACAGTCTACAGCGCTAGATTAAGATGTAGGGGTAAAGTGACTTTTTTGAAGAACATTATTAGTATATTTATGTTGAATCAGGTATATCAGAGAAATAAATATATGTTAAAGTGATCAATTAAGAAGATGCATCTCTCTGCAAATATCATTCATTTCTGTACCACAATTTTAAATGATGTGATGTCCTTTGTTACTCTTTCCTTGATGTTGAGGTGGAGAAACTCACCTTTCATGAAAACTTTAACCTATTCTTCCCTTAATTTGTTTATCTATAATTTTTTTTTATTTTATTGAATCACCGTGAGATAGTCAGTGTCTGTATTGCAAACCATAATGCCCCAAAATAGAGAGAGATTGTAGAGAATATTATCTATAAATTCTTTAGGTTAATTTTGTGGTACTGGACTGGAGCGATAGCACAGCGGGTAGGGCATTTGCCTTGCATGCGGCCGACCCAGATTTAATTCCTCTGTCCCTCTCTGAGATCCCAGCAAACTGCCGAGAGTATCCTGTCTACACGACAGAGCCTGGCAAGCTCCTCGTGGCATAATTGATATGCCGAAACCAGTAACAACATGTCTCACAATGAAGATGTCACTGGTGCCCACTCGAGCAAACTGATGAACAATGGGAGGACAGTGTTACAGTCCAGTGCTACAATTTGTGGTACTAGGAATATTATGGGAGCTAGTATTGTTATTTCTAGTTATTAAGATGGAAATTCTCTAAAAGAACCAGTGAAAATACAACTACTAATCTTATAATTCAGCAATTTAGAAAATGATAACCTATGCAGACAATGACTGAAGACAGCAAATACATGAGAGAATTGACCCATAAACATAAAGATATAAAGCACTGTAGCACTGTCCTCCTGTTCATTGATTTGCTTGAGCAGGCCCAATAACGTCTCCATTGTGAGACTTTGTTTTTACATAAAGAGGAGTCTTAAAATTATTAAACACAGGGTATTATTTCCTCAAACAAAAGTATTGTTAATAGCTGTCTTTGTGTTTTGGAGGACAGAAGTATTTGTGTGTATTGAGAATAGAAAATGGGAGCAAAGGGCTTTTCTTTGTAGCATATATTAAACGTTTTGCTTTTTTTTGTCTTAGGAGAAAAGTAGATATAAAGAATGATTTATATTTCCCTGATGATAAATTATGCAGATTTCTTTCATAAATGTATTGACTATTTGTATGCATTTTTCTTCTCTCTCTCCCTTTTTTTTGCTGGGGAAGGTCATATCTGGTGATGCTCAGAGGTTACTCCTAAATCTGCACTCAGAAATTACTCTTGGGTGCTCAAGGGACCATATGGGTTTCCAGAGATAGAATTTGGGTATGCAGCATGCAAGGCAAGTGGCCAACCTGCTATACTACTGCTCCAGTCCCGTAATTCTTTTGAGGAAGTTTCTGCTCATCTTTTCTCTGCACTTTTTTGATGAAATTGTTTGTTTTATTGTTGCTGATAGTATTTACAAATGCTTTGTGTGTCTTGGGCATTAATCCCTTATCAGAACAGTACGGGGAATTGCAGAAAGAAGAGTGATAGGAAAGTACTCTCATTTCTTTTTATTCTGGTCATTGCTTCTTTTGTAGGGAAGAAGCTTCTGAATTTGAAGTTGCTTCACTTGTTTATCTTTACTTCCATTGACTTGGCCAGTGGTGCTGAATCATGGAAGATGCTTCTAGATTCAAAGTCATTAAAAGTTCTGCATATATTTTCCTCGGTAAATTTTCTGGAGTCAGGTCAGATATCAAGGTCTTTAATCCAGGATGACTTTTTAAAGAACAGAAATCCTAAATTAGTAAAATCTATCTCAACATTAGCAGAAAAGAACTGTGGTTAGAAGACATATAACTAGATGCACTGAGATGTACTAACAAATATTTTTATGGAAAACACATATATAGTCCTGTTAACAGAAAATTGTTGCCTATATAATCTTTTATATGAAATATTACAATTGTCAAGTATGAGTATTCTATCCTTAGGAATTCAAAGTTCATATAAAATTTTCTATATGTCTTTATCAGATGCCATAATTTTACTTTTTGATTGACTACCTGAAATTTAGTGATAGCACAGCGGGTAGGACATTTGCCTTGTATGCTGCAGATATGGCCAACTCAAGTTCGAGTCCCCCATTACTCTAGGAGAGCCCAGCAAGCTACTGAGAGTATCTCGCCCACACGGCAAAGCCTGGCAAGCTACCCTTGACATATTCAATATGCCAAACACAGTAACAAGTCTCACAATGTTACTGGGCCCACTCGAGCAAATCAATGAACAAAGGGAGGACAGTGACAGTGACAGTGACCTGAAATTTAATTGAATCCAAATTATTCTTGATATGTTTATATATCAAAATGAGCCTCAGAATGGCTACTCATAAAGAACCTGAAACCAAGTCTTATCAAAGCAAAAAGAGCTTCGCATTTGAATTTTACCAAGTTTCTAGGTGGAATATTAGTTATTTTAGAGCATCCAAAATTGAACTACAATGCAGACTGAACGAGAATGCAAAATAAGTTCTTCATTTTGAAAGTTTTACCAAAAGAGAATGAGTGTTTGTGAGTATCTCTAGCAATCAAGCCTTCTTTTATCTTTTATTTAAAAAGTATCTTTAGATAATACAGTGTAATGTTTTGCCAAGTTCTGTTGTAATCATGCAGAGTGACAGAGTAAATGGCCAAAATAAAGAGCTTATGATTATCACTTACTAGAGAATCACATTCAAACAAAGGCATGAAAATTGAGGGAATGTTTTTCAATTTGACATGTAATATTATAGAATTCTCACTGGGAATTTGGGACAGGAAGAAAGGATAGCAAACTACTATTAAATTCCCATAGCAAATGTATCTTCTACTCCTATGAGTAAAATGGAATTATAAAGTATACACAGTGTGAAACAAAGGATAAAATGAAAAAGTGAAAATAATTATAAAAATAAGAAAGCTCATACAGCAAGAAAACAATCTTGTGAAAGCTTTCCCTAATCAGCCTTATAATTCACATCAATAGAGCCAAGAATAACCATTTATTCTAATTTTATTATTATGATCAAGAAGAAAAATTATATTGATTGTATTAGTTTATATCCTTTGTCAGCAACCATGGCAAATCTAATTTTAAGACTACCTCTTTACATTTCTTTCTTTTTTCAAATAGATTTGGCTAAAGTTGGGAGGAAATAATGAAAAACCACACCAGAGTAAGCACATTCATTCTACTGGGATTGACTGATGACCCACAGCTTCAAGTTCTCATATTTATCTTTATGCTTGTCACTTATATTTTGAGTATAACTGGAAATATGACAATCATCTCTCTTACCTTAGTAAATTCTCAACTAAAATCTGCCATGTACTTTTTCCTCCAAAATTTCTCCATTTTAGAGATCTCATTCACCACAGTCTGCGTTCCTCGATTCCTTTACAGCATGTCTACTGGAGACAGGACCATTACTTATAACGCTTGTGCTAGTCAACTTTTTTTTTACATTTTTCTTGGATCCACAGAATTTTTTCTTTTGGCAGTAATGTCCTATGACCGTTATGTGGCTATCTGTAAACCCTTGCATTATGTGACCATAATGAGTAGTAGAGTCTGCAAAAGATTAGTTTTCTTCTGTTGGGTTGGAGGTTTCCTAATCATAATGCCTCCACTTAGCCTAGGCTTAAATCTAGAGTTCTGTGACTCCAATGTCATTGACCATTTTCTCTGTGATGCATCTCCTATTCTCAAGATCTCTTGCACAGACACATGGTTTATAGAGCAGATGGTCATAGTCTGTGCTGTGATGACCTTCATCATGACCCTTGTGTGTGTAGTTCTTTCCTATATATACATCATCAAGACAATCCTGAAATTTCCCTCTGCCCAACAAAGGAAAAAGGCTTTTTCCACCTGTTCTTCCCACATGATTGTTGTGTCTATGACCTATGGAAGCTGCATTTTCATTTACATTAAACCTTCAGCCAAAGAAGAAGTGAAGATTAACAAGGGTGTGTCAGTACTTACTTCTTCCATAGCCCCTATGCTAAACCCATTTATATATACCCTGAGAAACAAGCAAGTGAAAGAAGCATTCAGTGACTCAATCAAAAAACTTAAATTTTTTCAAATTAATAGAAAATTGTTTAAATAGTGGATTTTTTTCAGAAAAGTTTAATATAGAACTAGAGCTCATCAGCAAAAAAAAATATTTGGTGTGTATTTATAAAAGTCAAAAGTAAGTTTTTATATGCTGTTCTAAATATTATTAAAAAAAAGAGTCAATGTTTCTTGAATCTAACAGTAAGAATTTGAACTTTCATATTTGTCTTTTTGCTAATCTTGTAATTATTAAAAAAAAAAAGGGTCAAACGTCCTTAAAGTACCTGTTTCTCAAGTACCTCTTATTCAAATGATTCAGATATTTGGGATGACATGTATTCTTTATCTGCTAACTTTTGGATTCTCCTATGTTTGGGGAGCACAACAGGGTTTATATTAAGCATAGTCAATCATAATAATAAAAATTTTATTTTTATCACAGTCTTCCTTTTGAAAGATACTCTTGTTAAAACATCAATTCCAATAGCAGATAAGTAGAGTTATAGAAAGATTCTCTTCATTGAATATTTCTCACATGCATTTGAAATATCTAAGAAGCTTAATTGTTAGCAAATTGATCAAGTAATTGTCATACAAATTTAGGGTTGGGCACCATCACGCTCAAGGCCGCTTCCCACATGCTCGGGCCAAGCCTCAAAATGAGTGAAGGTATTCCTGGGCCACGCAGCCTCGAAAGCAAAAACAGCCTCATGACACATCATAAGACACTTCCTACCCATCGTCCAACAGTACCACACCACATCTGATGGGGTTCAAATAATAGGCAACAAATCATAGAGGGAAATATATATATATATGCATTTATCGATTCTTCTGCCCCTCTCGGAGAGCCCAGCAAGCTACCGAGAGTATCTTGCCCGCATGGCAGAGCCTGACAAGCTACCCGTGACGTATTCGACGTGCCTAACACAGTAACAACAAAGTCTCCAATGGAGACGTTACTGGGCCCGCTCGAGCAACTCGATGAACAACGGGAGGACAGTGACAGTGGACAGTTCAGGGGTTGAAGCAATAGCACAGCGGTAGGGCATTTGACTTGCACGCATGTGACCTGGTCAGCCCAGGTTCGATTTCTCTGTCCCTCTCGGAGAGCCCAGCAACCTACTGAGAGTTTCTCCCCTGCAGGGCAAAGCCTGGCAAGCTACTCATGACATATTCAATATGCCAAACACAGTAACAACAAGTCTCACAATGGAGACGTTACTGGGCTCGCTTGAGCAAATCGATGAACAATGGGAGGACAGTGCTGCAGTGCTAGTGATATCCTAAAGAATGTCTTAATTGACCCTGCCAAAATAGAACAATCTTCACACCGTTTCCTCTATGAATACTTTTTTGTAGTATTTCAGTGGATTTTCATAACAGACAATACAAAATATATTATTTTAGTTGTGCTTTGGGGCAGGAATTGAGACTTGGGATGGAAACATCCCAAATTTGGTGGTGGAAAGGTGTAATGGTGGTGGGATTGGTGTTTGAATATTAAATGTAATCAAACATTGTGAACTGTCAAACAAACACTGTCCTCCCATTGTTCATCGATTTGCTTGAGTGGGCCCAGTAATGTCTCCATTTTGAGACTTCTTGTTTCTGTGTTTGGCATATTGAATATGTCACTGGTAGCTTGCCAGGCTTTGCCATGTGGGCGAGATACTCTCGGTAGCTTGCCAGGCTCTCCGAGAGGGGCGGAGAAATCCAACCTGGCTCAGCCAGGCTGGCTGCACGCAAGACAAACACCCTACCTGTATGCTATTGCTCCACCCCATTGTGAACTATCTTATAAAATAAAAAAAAATTTAAAGTTTAGTTAAAAAAAATTTAGGTTTGGGGAATATGCTGACAACCCTGAAAACAATTTCATTTTAATTATTCTATGTACCAAATTCTCTATTACTTGAGAGTATCATGAGAATATTTGAAGTTAAAAAAATTTTAGAAAGAAAAATCTATTTTTTCAAATATGTTAGATAGGGAGGATAACTTTCATTAAACACTAGAAGATTAGCAAAAAGTCCTATGAAACTGATAATAACCACCACCTGGCTATTAGAAAAATAATTAACTTTGCTTAGCTTTAGTTCTTCATTTCCAATCTAGAGATACTGAAATAATATATAATTTTGAGCTTCTTATGAAAGTTTAGAAGTGATATTAAAAAACCTGAAATTTAGCATCCCTAGATAAATAACAGCTGCCACCTGTTCTGAAAACTAAAGCATAACCACTAGAGTCAGACTACCTTGATTTCATCCCCAACTTAACCATTTTCTAGTTTCAATGTCTAGAATAGGTAGCACAACTGTCATTTCTTTCCTAGTCTATAAAAAAATGATAAAAATTGCAACTCTAATATAGAGCTGTAAAGACATGATACAATGTATTTAAAAGACACTGAAAAGTTTCTGACACAGGGCCAATAGTATTATTATTCCCTATATTGGGTAAAGTGTCAGAAATTTGGGTCAACACCTTCTTTTTTTTAATTAATTTATTTATTTATTGAATCACCATGGGAAAGGTTACAAAGCTTTCAGGTTTAGGTCTCAGTCATGCAAATATCAAGCACATTTCCCTTTACCAAAACTTATTTTTTACCATGAAGAACCCCAATAAAACCCCACCCCCCCCCACCCCTCCCAGTTCCTGTGGGGCAGATGAATTCTAGTTAACACTCTATCTGCTTTGATTAGATTCATTGTTTCAATAAAAGATTCACCACTATTATTTAGAGTTTACACCCCCCCAAATCAGACATGCTGACAAAGCATTGTGAAGTGATTTGCTTTCTACAGCTGGGTTCAAGAATTATATGTTGGTTTTGGATTTCTGCTATTTTACTTATTGACCCTGGAAGTATTTCTACTGAAAGTCAGATAGTTAAGAAATTGGTTTCTGTGCTCTGGAGTCGTGGCCGGGCTGGAGAGCCGCTAGTGGGGGTCAACTGGTGGGCTCGGTAGGGCATGAAGGGCGGACCGAAACGCCCCCCTTCCCATGAGGTTTTAGTCGCCCCCACTCCCCCGGCTCATACCTGCTGTCCGCAAGGCTCCCATGCGGCCGCCATCTTTCTTTCCAGAGAAGAGAGGGCAAATGGGGCAACACCCTTTCTCCTCCGGCAGACTTGATGGCCTGGATTAACGCATGGTCCATTCACTTTTCTGCTCCAAGCAGTCGGGTTCTGCATTAAGTCCTTGTGCTTCTGGGGCCGTGGCCTTGCTGGAGAGCAGCTCGTGGGGGGCAACTGGTGACCTCGGTAGGGCGTGAAGGGCAGACCGAAACGCCCCCCTTCCCATGAAGTTTTAGTCGCCCCCACTCCCCCGGCTCATACCTGCTGTCCACAAGGCTCCCATGCGGCCGCCATCTTTCTTTCCAGAGAGGAGAAGGCGACTGGGGCAACACCCTTTCCCTTCCGGACAGACCTGATAGCCTGGATTAACACATAGTCTGTTCACTCTTCTGTTCCAAGCTGTCAGGTTCTGCATTAAGTCCTTGTGCTTCTGGGGCCGTGGCCGTGCTCCAAACTTAACTATGATTTTCAGAGAGAAACGTTGGGTGGTTTACTTCCCATGGATTACTTTGTATATAGATAGATGTCGCGCGGCCGCATGAGCGGCCACGCGGTTTTGAGGAAAAGTCCTAGTTCCCGCATACTCGAGCTGTGGTTGTAGAGGCTTCTGGTCACCGGGGTTCCATCTGGGGGAGGCGGGATATGGTACCTACCCCATCTGGGGCTTCCCGATGATCTCGGCTCTTTTTGGAACCTGGTTTTTTTTTTCCCTTCGGGATCTGTGGATCCCGCCCTCCATGTTGTCCTTCTCTTCGGCTGAATGCTGTCAGCACCTTCTTTAATAGAGAACTAAATTGATTTGAAAACTGTTTCCTTTTTAAAGATGCATAATCTTGGGACCAGAGCAGTAGTACAGTAGAGAGGGCACTTGCACACGGCCTACCAGTGTTCAATACCCAGCAGCCCGTATGGTACCCAAGCTCTTCCAGAATGATGCCTGAGTGCAGAGCCAGGGGTAAACCCTGAGCACTACCAGGTGTGCCCCCCCCACCAAAAAATAAATATACACAATCTCTATAATCTGGCTTGCATCATTTCTGTGACAGAATCTGTGATCATTTTACCTGAGTTAATCCTACATTTTATAGTTTCTAATCTCACACATTCTGAGATAAATATTATGATCTCTGGCATGGTTTTTGTATATTTATCTTTATTTTTACTCTTCACCTTTCTCCAGAAAAATGTATCTGTATTATATAGCCCTAATATTACAACAAACCTAAAACAAAACAAGGATCATTCTACATAGCAACCTAAGTGAAAACCTAAGTAGCAGAGGGTCAGGGAAATGTACTGTACGTAGGATCTTCCTTTTCATGCAGCTGAGCAAGTTCATTCCCCACCACCCCACAAAGTCCCCAAAGTAATGTCAGGAGTGATCTCTGGGACAGATGAGGAGTAAGCTCTGAGCACTGCCAGGTGTGGCCCCAAAACAAAACAAAAACAAAAAAAAAAACTAACAAAAACCCCTAAATAACAAGGGATGAGGAGAAATATTAGAAACAACAGAGACAGGGGTCAAGGGAATTCAGTTACATCTGTGGCATCAAGGAATTACAGAGCTAAATGTCCAAACCACATAGTCAAAGGCACTGAAATCACAAGACTCAAACTTGAATACCAAACATAAAAGATGCCTGTCAAGCTGGCATAATGGGGCTGGGGTGGGGTTGGGAGTAGGAAAGGGAGAAACACTGGTGAAGGAAAGTTCAAATGGGTGACAGGATCAGTGATGGAACATTGTATGTCAAAAGCCAACTATGAATAACTTTGTAACTAACAGTGCTTTAATAAACTAAAATTTGAGTGAAAAAAAAAGAAAATTTACTGAATCACTGTGAGATAGACCCTTACAAAGCTGTTCATGATTAGATTCAGTTACACAATATTCCAACACCCTTCCCTCAATCAGTGTACATTTCCCAGCACCAGTGTACCCAGGTTTCCTC